GTACTCACGCAAAAGTGCAATCGCAAAAAGGATCATGATAACACAAACTATAATCCTAGGACATTAATACAAATCAACAAACATGCTCAAACACACTCGCTCAAAAGGACATGCACAAACGTACATGTCAAAAAACCATGCGCAAAAGTGCATTCGCAATAACGTTCATAAAAACACGAACTACAATACTACGACTTTAATATGCATCAACAAACAACAGCAAAAACACTAGGTAAAAAAGATACAGTGGAGTGTAGGAATAACACTCTACGTTTACGTTTACGTGTATTGTTTTTGGACTAATTTATATTTTTGTTTTAATTGGTGTATTTGGTAACTTATAGGTACAAATGGAATATTAGGTGTCCATGAAGAAAAAATGATCAAAGAGTAAGAAAAGAGTTGCAATTAAGAAAATAAAATCAAATTAGAAGAGAATCCCTCAACATCTTTGGTAGTGTACATGAAGTTGAGCATAACTCTCTCATCTGGACTCCAAACCACCTGGTTCCTTCGGTAGTGTACATGAGTGAGCTACAATTCCTGTCTCCCGGCAAATTTCCAAATTCGGACTCGAACATGGTTAAAAACGGACACAAAAAGTGACCCCGAAAATACGTACTGCAATTGAAGGACATGCATGCGCATGAAGAAACGTGCACAAAAACACTAGCTAGAAAAGATACACGCATAGCTAGATGTACAAAATCATGCACAAGCGTACTCACGCAAATGTGCATTCGCAAAAAGGATCATGAAAACCCAAACTACAATCCTAGGACATTAATACAAATCAACAAACATGCACAAACACACTCCCTCAAATGGACATGCACAAACGTACATGTCAAAAAACCATGCGCAAAAGTGTATTCGCAACAACTTTCATAAAAACACGAACTACAATACTACGACTTTAATACGCATCAATAAACAACAACAAAAACACTAGATAAAAAATATATATACAGTGGAGTGTAGAAATAATACTCTACGTTTACGTTTACGTGGATTTTTGTTTGGGTTAATTTATATTTCTTCTTCAATTGGTGGAGATGGTATCTTATAGGTACAAATCGAAAATTAGCTGTCCATGAAGCAAAATTGATGAAAGAGTAAGAAAAGAGTTCCAATTAAGATAATAAAATATAAATAGAAAGAGAATCCCTCAACATCTTTGCTAGTGCCCACGAAGTCGAGCATACCTCTCTAATTCGGACTCACAATCACCTGGTTCCAGCGGCATTATAAAGCTATTTGAGTGGGCTACAATTCCTGTCTAACGGCAAATTTCCAAATTCGGACTCGAACATGGTCAAAATTGGATACCAAAAGCAATCATGAAAATACGTACTACAACTCAAGGACATGAATGCGCATTAAGAAACGTGCACAAAAACACTCGCTAGAAACTTAACGCACATAAGTAAAAGTACAAAAGCATGCAGAAAAGTACTCACGCAAAAGTGCATTCGCAAAAAGGATCATGAAAACACAAACTACAATCCTAGGACATTAATACAAATCAACAAACATGCACAAACACACGCGCTCAAATGGACATGCACAGATGTACATGTAAAGAACCATGCGCAAAAGTGCACTCGCAACAACGTTCATAAAAACACGAACTACAGTACGAGGACTTTAATACACATCAACACAACAACAGCAAAAACGCTAGATAAAAAAAATATAGTGGAGTGTAGAAATAACACTCTACGTTTACGTTTACGTGGATTTTATATTTGGATTAATTTATATTTCTGATTTAATTGGTGGATTTGGTATCTTATAGGTACAAATCGAAAATTCGGTGTGCAAGAAGCAAAAATGATCTAAGAGTAAGAAAATAGTTGCAATAAAGAAAATAAAATAAAATTAGAAGAGGGAATCCGTCGACATCTTTGGTATTGCCACGAACTCGAGCATAACTCTCTCATCCGGACTCCAAAACACCTGTTTCCGGCGGCAATAGAAAGCTATTAGTGTGGGCTACAATTCCTGTCTCAATGCAAATTTCCAAATTCGAACTCGAACATGGTCAAAATTAGATACCAAAAGTGATCATGAAAATACGTACTACAATTCAAGCACATGAATGCCATTCAAGAAATGTGCACAAAAACACTCGCTTGAAAAGATATGCACATAAGTAAAAGTATAAAAGCATGCACAAAAATACTCACGATAAAGTGCATTCGCTGAAAGGATCATGAAAACCCAAACTACCATCCTAGGACTGTAATACAAATCAACAAACATGCACAAACACACTCGGTCAAATTGACATGCACAAACGTACATGTAGAGAACAATGCGCAAAAGTGCACTCGCAACAATGTTCATAGAAACACGAACTACAATACTAGGACTTTAATACGCATCAACAAACAACAGCAAAAACACTAGATAAAAAAGATAAAGTGTAGTTTAGAAATAACACTCTACGTTTACGTGGATTTTTTTTTTGGATTAATTTATATTTCTGTTTTTATTGGTGGATTTGGTATCTTATAGGTACACATCGAAAATTAGGTAATGATCAAAGAGTAAGAAAAGAGTTGCAATTAAGAAAATAAAATTAAATTAGAAGAGAGAGAATCCAGCCGGAAGGCTTCATATCTTCTGGAAGTGAGAGAAAAGTTTGCAAACTCCAGCGATCCATTTAGGGATTGAAACAAGCATCCGGTAGTTGGAAGATTAGGTTCGACTCAACTATCAAAGAGTTTGATTACGAGAAGAACCCGGAGGAGCCTTGTGTATACAAGAAGGTTAGTGGGAGGGGCAGTGGTATTTTTAGTGCTTTATGTGCATGACATTCTACTGATTGGGAATGACGTAGGAATGTTGAAACAGACAAAAGCATGGTTTTCCACACATTTCTCAGTGAAGAATTTGGGAGAAGCATCTTACGTATTAGGAATACAGATCTATTGAGATAGAGCAAGAAAGATGTTTGGCTTATCATAAAGCTTGTACATAGACACCAATATGAAACAGTTTAGCATGGAAGAATCCAAGAAGGGATTCTTCCCAATGTCCCATGGGGTTCGTCTCTCGAAATCTATGTGTCCTCAGACACCTAGTTAAATCAAACTGACGAAAAGGACGCCTTATGCTTCTGCCATAGGAAGCATAATGTATGCTATGATGTGTACTAGACCCGATATTGCTTATGCTGTGAGTGTCACAAGCAGATATCAGTCTACCCCCAGTCCAACTCAGTTGAACGCTATGAAATATATCCTCAAGTACTTACGAAGGACTAAGGATATATTTTTGGTCTATGGGGGTGCCGAGTTGAAATTAGTGGGCTTCACCGACTCTAGTTTTCGATTGGATGTGGATGACTCAAAGTTGAACTCGGGCTTTATTTATATTCACGCTAAATGGTGGTGCCGTGTGTTGGAAGAGTTCCAAGCAAAGCACGACGGCCGATTCCATAACCGAAGCTGAATACATTGCAGTGTCCGAAGCTGCAAAAGAAGGGACTTGGATAAGGAAATTCATCCAAGAGTTGGGTGACATTCCTAATGCTAATGATCCACTACCGTTGTACTGTGATAACACCAGAGCCGTGGGCCAATCTAAGGAGCCGAGATCTCATCAGAAGTCCAAGCATATTGTGAGAAAGTATCATGAGATCCGAGAAATCATTGAAAGAGGTGAAGTCAAACTAGAGCGAGTCACCTCGGAAGAGAACATTGCAGACCCATTCACGAAGCCTTTACCAAGGTCGATCCACGAGAAACATCGAGAGTTGATGGGATTAGGATTTATGGGTAGTTTGCTTTAGGTCACGTGGGAGATTGATAGAGTAGGTGACCAACAAGATAACTTGTGGCTGTGGTCTTTCCATTTATTCCTGGAATAAATAATCCTTTTTCGTATTAATGATAAAACACATTGGCATTCCATATCCTTGTCCCTTGTTTTAAACATAGATATAGTCCTTTAAGTTATTACAATTACTAGTAATTGATCTTTAAGGATCGTGAGATATTTACTTTAGTATTATAACTATTTAACGTGTTCCTAGTCGAAGGGTTACACCACCAAGGAGGATATCGGTCTTTCCTATTAAGAGACTAGAACTTAGTGTATGTGTACTGCGTCTCATCAGTAAACGGTATTGTGATATCGGCATGCATAAGTGGGTGCTCGTAAGTTGACTAGTTCACTCAACTCCCTCACGCTAGAAATCTCTAAGTGGTTCTCAATAATCGAGTACATATATCTATGGTATAGTTGTACACCATTAGTTGTACAGACATCACTGTCACTTCACTAGACGACCAGCTCTATCGTGACATGTCCCTAAGTTCCACCGAGGACCGCCCCAAGGGCCAGTGTTCGTGCAGTCTGAAATATAATGGGAGGTTTGTGCAATGCATTCGGGGATTCGATCGACCATTTTGATATGCTTCTAACCGACGATCATCTAATAAAACCCAACTCCTATCTTTTGGCATGCTTTAATTAACAAGATTACCTAGAAATTGGGAAGGGTCACAATTATTCTCAAAGTTACATTCATAAACTAAAACTAAATTAAGGTGGTAGTTCGCATAATTCCGAGCCACAATAATTCCGAGCAACACAGGCTCATCAAATCAGCATAAAACAAACAAACACATAATTTCGAGAAAAAACCCAAAAATAGTTCGCAATAATCAAACACATACAAAATTTTCCACATAAACAAACAAAGATTTAAAAAAAGGAAAATTACCTTGAAAGGAGGGCAGACGGAGGAGGAATGGCGGCAGACGGTAACGGCAATTAAGATAATACTTAAAAAAAGGAAAATTACCTCTTAAATTACTACTTCAGCCTAATTAATAATTAATACACTATGTTGAATTAAACTTCATCCAGGAGAATTATAAGGCAATTAAGATAATACTTAATTAGCTCATTTGTTTTTAAATTAAATGATATTAATTAATCATTTTACGCATATGAGAGAGTTGATATTAAAATAAACACAAATGCTGCCAACCTGCGGCCGACTCCAACTCGATCGGCCACCACGGCGTCACCGCCGACATCGTCGGCGTCTCCGCCCTAGCCCAGGACCTCTATAACTTTGAGATCACCAACCAGGTACCCATCTTCTTCCCCACCTCAACTTTTCAACTCTAACCAATTCAATTTCACTTTTTTTTTTAATTATCCGAAAACAGAAAATTTCATGGATTCAACTTTCAACACGATCTGAGTTTCTGAGTTAGTTCAGAGTTCTATGGACCTTAGTTTCAATTAATTATTATTTTTTATTTTTTATTTTCAGGTTCCTCAAGGATTAGGTAAGCATGTTGTCTCATCCAGAAAAGCCCAAATCAACTGGTAATCACTAATCACTTTTAATTAGTTTGAATTTCCAAGTAAAATGTCATTAAAAGTGAAGTAATTAACAGAATACTCAACAAAAATCTTGCCATTATCATTATAAAATGAATCCCTAATTCTCATTTTCTATTAATGCGATTTCGATGAAGGTACAAGAAACTCTCTGATGCGTGGAGAGAAACCAAACCACCTCCAATAAATTCAATTTACACACACACCTCGTTTGATGCAAATAACATTTAATGTTCACATTCAAAATTTTCTATGAAAAACGCACAAACACACTTGTGTGTGTATGTGTGTGTGTGTTAAATGCTTACTTTGACAATTGGCTTGGATTTGGATGAGAATTCAGAAGAAAGCAGCGGCAGACGGCGGAGAGCAGCGGCGGACGGCGGAGAGCAGCGGCGGACAGTGGAGAGCAGCGGCGGACGGCGGAAAGATGGGCTGACGGTGGAGAGCAGCGGCGGAGAGATGGGCGGAGGAGAGCAGCGGCGGACGGCGGAGAGCAGCGGAAGACTACGGCGGCGGAGGCGGAGGGGGAGGACCCGGCAGAAGGGGGGCGCCGACGGAGGGGAAGATTGAAAGAGAGAAAGAAACGAGAAGAAAATCGGAGAAAATGGGGAAAAGGTGATTAGGGCCAGCCTTCTAATTAAATTATTTGCGACGTTTCCTAACAAATCGTCTCCAAGTCAGATTTAAACGAATCTCGTAGCGACATTTTAAGCTCTTTCGTCGCACACCAAAAAAAATTTAAATAGACTTGCGACGTTTCGCTAGGAAACGTCGCTATACAAAAGCGGGATTTTTTCTGTAATTATTTTGGCGACGATTAATACACTATCGTCGCAAATAATAATTATAATTCTTTTATTAATGTATTTTACCTGTGACGAATCCACTATATTCGTAACTAATAATAAATATTATTTAATATTTCCTCTTTATTACGCTACGTTTATCCTTATTCGTTGCCAACCCAATAATTTTTTTTTTTCACAATTGCACTAGCGACGTATACGTCATATTCGTCGCGAAGGTAAAAAAAATTAATTGCAAAATATATTTTTCATGCGTCGTTTATATAAAAACGTCGCTACGAGAGTGCTATATTATTTTTTTTTCCTTTGCGACGTTTGATTGAGATTAGTCGCAACATCGCGACGATTACTATTATGGTCGCGAGATATTCCATCGAAATCTTATTTTCCGATATTTGGCGACGTTTTTTAGTCAAAATGGTCGCAAACTCGCGACGATTCCGGAATCGTCGCCAAATAAAACGTCGCAAGTCAGCTGTTTTGGCCTAGTGAGTCTTGGATGTCCTGTGTGTTCTCATAGTTTGTAATCTTTAAGTTTCTGGCCAGATGACCAAGAGCATCTTCCAACGTCATCACTATTTTTTCACCAAATCTTATTTTTGATGGTGAAAAAATGGGTTTGTCTCCCACCCTTAGCACACCATTCTACAATTTCACTACTTTTGGTGAATAAGTAGTGTATTTAGTGTCCCACTAATTCCATCAAAGTTTACACCAAATAATAAAATAATAATTTTTCACCATTTTTCTATTTATAGAGAATAGCATTTGGCTTGGTCTCCCATGGTATTTCACCAAATATATCACAAAATTATAAATTTAATGTTAATCATAATTTTAATTTTTTTTAATTTAAAAATGTTTATTATAGATCCGATTATAAGTAATAATTTAATTAATTATATAATCTTAAAATTGATATAAATTTCAAAAAAATTTATTGAAACATGAATGAAAATCAACGTAAATTATTATACATATAACAAAATCACAAATAAACATAATTTCATAACTCAATGCATAAAAATATTACAACAAAATTAATAAAAATAATTTCATAACTTAATGCTAACTAAGTAGTTTATGTGTATTTCATTTATATAATTTGTCTTGTGTTTGTGACGTTATAATGTTATGTTTTAATTGTTTTTTTGAAAATAAATATATTTTTATTTAATAATAATAATAATAATAATAATAATAATAATAATAATAATAATAATAATAATAATAATAATAATAATAATAATAATAATAATAGTAATAATAATAATAATAATAATAATATTACTAATAATAGTTAAAATAATAATAAGAATAATAATAAATTATTATTATTATTATTATTATTATTATTATTATTATTATTATTATTATTATTATTATTATTATTATTATTATTATTATTATTATTATTATTATTATTATTATTATTATTATTATTATTATTATTATTATTATTATTATTATTATTATTATTATTATTATTATTATTATTATTATTATTATTATTATTATTATATTTTCTATTACTATACTAATATATTTTCTATAAATATATTTATATACTAATATACTAATATATTTATATATTATCATATTCATTAATTAACACTAATATATTTGCTATAAATATTTTTATAAATTGGTAATCACATAAAATGAGATAATATAATAATTTTATATGCTAATTATAAAATGGTGTTAATTACACCAAATCCTATTTTAATTTCTATATTTGATAGGAAAAATAGGATCTGGTTGGTGGAAAAAATGGTAAAATGGTGGAAGGGTGGGAGATGCAAATTTCTTCACCCAAAAGTTTGGTGAAAATATAGAATAGGGTAATAAGGTGATATAGATTTTGACCACAATGGGACACAAAAACCAAATCATCATAATTTTAGGTGTAATGACAATTTAGTGATTTAGGTTGGGAGGTTAAAAACACCTAAATTATGTGTAAAAAATAGGAAATGGTGTAGGGTGGAAGATGCCCTAAGTGATGATCAGAGAATTCGATTCTCTAAGTCATGCACGTACCGATTACAACACTTAGAACGATCGCCCTGTTATTGGACTAGTAAGGGGGTCTCGATGAACCAATGCCTCTAGTTCAATCAGGATATATGAATCGAAGCAATCGTACTGTACATTAACTATATCAAAAGATTCTTGCAGGCACATTATTTATATCTAAGAAATCATGACGTGTAGTTGCTAGACGCCAATCTTGATTCATTGGATGTTTTAGTTGAAACGAGCTTTATCTTAATTGTAACTCTAAGGGACGAGTTTAGACCACAAAGGGTTGTGGACCCACAACTAGCTTACACCTGAACCATCGAGAGTCACAGTGCTCGTGCACTCGAGATCTTTGAATAAACGGTCAAAGATAAAAAAAATTTAATCTTTGCATGATTGGAAGTCAATGTGATTGAGTCCAACATTCGTAATTTGGAATTATGAATGAGAATAAGAAAAGGAAAAGAATAGGGGAAATCTTAGTGAACTTTCCAAATTGGGAAGTTTCCAAATTTAGAAGGTCCACTGAATTAGGGTTTCCACTTTTAGAAATTGGAAATCTAGAAGTGGCACTTGTGATGACGAGGACGTTTCAATGATTCAGAAAATGTAATCGTTACAATTTTCTGATCATTGAGTTGTCATAAATAAGCTGGTAATAAACTAACGAACTTAAGCTGTTGGGCCTGGTTCTACTTAAGCCCGTTAGGGCTTTTATACAAGACACTATAAATACATGATTTATAGGTCTTGCACAATAGACAACATGTTGGAGTAGGTGACCAATAAGCCAACTTGTGGCTGTGGTCTTTCTCTTTTACCTTGTAATAAAAACAATCGTTTTTCGTTCGTGATAATAAAACATTTCATTTGGCATTCTATATCTCTCATCCCATGCAAGTAGCATAGATATAGTCCTAACGAGTTACTCTATTACTGTGAGTTGATCTAGTAGAATCGTGAGATAACTCAGCAATGTAATGTAACTGTTAAACCTTGTTCCTAGTCGATGGGTTACGCCATTAATGAGGATACCGGCCTTTCCCTTTTAAGACTAGCACTTAGTGTATGTGCACTGCGTCTCATCAGTCCTCGGTGTTGTGACATCGGCATACTTGAGTGGGTGCTCATACGAGATGAGTTCACTGAACTCCCTCGCCCTAGAAATCTATAAGTGGTTCTCATTCATCGAGTAATAGGTTTCTAAGATATAGTTGTACACCAATAGTCCTTAAGACCCAGACATCACCGTGACTTCACTAGAGGACCGATTGTATCGTGACCTTGTTAGAGTAGGTGACCAACAAGCCAACCTGTGGCTGTGGTCTTTCGTATTTATTATTGTAATAAACGAACATTTATTCGTATTAATGATAAAACACCTTGGCATTCTATATCTTTGTCCCTTTGTCACAAGCATAGATATAGTCCTTACAGTTATTACAAGTACTAGTAATTGATCGTTAGGATCGTGAGATATTTACTTAAGTATTATAACTGTTAAACGTGTTCCTAGTCGAAGGGTTACGCCACGAATGAGGATATCGGCCTTTCCCATTAAGACTAGCACTTAGTGTATGTGTACTGCATCTCATCAGTAAACGGTATTGTGATATCGGCATGCATAAGTGGGTGCTCGTAAGTTGACGAGTTCACTGAACTCCCTCACCCTAGAAATCTCTAAGTGGTTCCCAATAATCGAGTAGAGATATCTATGGTATAGTTGTACACCATTAGTCCTCATGACCTAGACATCACCGTGACTTCACTAGAGGACCAGCTGTATCGTGACCTGTCCCTGAGTTCCACCGAGGACCATCCCAAGGGCCAGTGTTCGTGCAGTCCGAAATCTAGTGGGAGGTCTGTGCATTGTAGTCGGGGATTCGATCGCTAGAATAGTCTTGGATGTCCTGTGTGTTCTGAAAGTTTGTAATCATTCTAAGTCTCTGGCCAGAGCTGACTAAGTGATGATTAGAGAATTCGATTCTCTAAGTCATGCACGTGACGATTACAACACTTGGAACGATCGCACCGTCATCGAACATATAAAGAGGTCTCGATGAACCAATGCCTCTAGTTCGATCGGGACATATGAATCGAAGGGACCGTACTGTACGTTAACTATATCTGAAGGTTCTTGCAGGCACTTCATTTGTATCTAGGGAATCATGACGCGTAGTTGCTAGACGCCAATCTTGATTCGTTGGGTGATTAAGGTGAAACGAGCTTCATCTTAATCGTAACTCTAAGGGACGAGTTTTGACCACAAAGGGTTGTGGGCCCACGGCTAGCTTACACCTGAACCATCGAGGGTCACACTGCTCGTGTACATGAGATCTTTGAATAAACGGTCAGAGATAAAATAGTTTATCTTTGCATGATTGGAAGTCAATATGATTGGATCCAACATTCGTAATTTGGAATTATGAATGAGAATAAGAAAAGGAAAAGAATAGGCGAACGTGTTAGTGAACTTTCAAAATCGGGAAGTTTCCAAATTTAGAAAGTGCAT